GGCAATACTTTCAGTAACTGTAGTAGGGTCGCACTGGACACCCGAAAGCAGTTACGACATCACCATGGTATTCTGGCCGTGCCTTTGACAGTTTGAATAGGCATCTAATTATTAGGCATGATTTAGAGCATGAAATTTGGAAAATCTTTGCTATGAATATATTTTTAAATGTGACATTTATTTTAGTATATTCTATTGATTTAAATTTTTAGTTATAATAGTACTAAGTTACTACTTAATAAACCAGTCATATGTTTGAAACTTAAAATTTTATATGCATTATTATTGGTCATATTTACTCTGTCACCCACCTTTAATAAAGTAAATAATTTTCAACTAAGCACTCTGTTAGGCTTGCCCTAAAGTTTTACACTCAACTAGATGTACAGGATGACCGAAATTAAGAACGACCCTCCCCCCCCCCCCCCCCCCCACACACACACACACACTCAAAAATGATTTATTGAAATAACTAAAAGTTTAATTACTCTACTTTGGATGAATAATTTAGTATTTGAAATAAATATATCAAACCCTAACCTGTAAAACACACATATCCCTTAATTTTGAAATCGTTTCGAATATACATTATCATGGTCATAATGAAAGTATGTCCGTCAAAACAATTATTTGATTTTACTTGAATAATTCGATTAAAGGCCTCTTAGTCTTAGGTGGTTTCAGGTTTGTGCAAAAAGTAACTGCTGTTAGTATTCCATATAAAGTTTCACAGTGATAATCTTATTTATCAAATTATGTACATATACACTGAATTATGGAGACGATCACCAATGACATGTCCTACATTAAGAAATATACTTCCCAATAAATGAAGTGTAATGTTATTCTGAGGGAAGAAATACAAGAGGCCCATAGGGCCAGTATAGCTCACCTAGGCATTTACGCAATCCTGACAAAATATACAATTACATTGTACATGTATATAATACCGGAGAATGCTTCCAACCAAATATGGTTGATATCTATCTCTTAGTTCCAGAGAAGAAGTTGTTTATAGCAAATTACCCTTATTTGGCCCCGCCCCTCAACCCCTTGGGGGGTCAGCCCCACCATTTGTACACTTTTGAATCCCCACCACTTAGGAATGCTTTTAGTCAAATTTGGTTAATATCCAATTAGTGGTTCAAAAGAAGAAGTCGTTTGAATAGATTGTTGACGTACGGACGACGGACGGACGACGGACGCCACGGTATGGTATAAGCTCACCTCTGTCCTTCGGACCAAATGAGCTCCAAAAGTGTGTTACACCTCGTCTGCACTATAATTGTTATATCACTGCAGACTGTGATTGAAGCATGGGCAAGATTAATTGTGATGAACGGAAGTGCTTTTTGTTAATATTTCTGGTTGTGAGGCTCAAACGACCCAAGTAAAACAAATCGCCAGAAGTCCAACACATTAATACATTCAGCTTATCACTAAATGAACTATTATGGTTCTGTTCTGATGTACTAAACCTTCAAAATGGCGTGCTGGTTTTCTTGGGGGAATTAGTCAGCAAAGAGCCGGAGTCACAGGAGACTAATCACAATTAACAATGAACAATTTCCTAACTATAGCTGTGGATGCCACAGAGAGTCGGTACAACCCTCTGGGCTGTGGGAGAGAGGTCTGCTTTGTATATCAGCGTCACACCCCTTCTGCCTAACATCTAAATTAGAACAATAAAAAGGAATATGATTGGTTGTTGATACACAATGGGGTGTTACCTACGGTTAATAAATGGCTAGACCGAGGGGAATACCTAGTCCTGTTAGATCCTGACATTAATCTTGTTGGCATATTTACTGGGTGCGTGGAAAGAGATTATGGTATCACAATCAGACGAGCTTGTCTGGGGACTAATCCATAATGAGTCTAAAATGAAGTATTTGCTGAAAAGTTATTCTAGTTTTGGTGATGGCAGATTTACTTAAATAAAATAGTTCAAGGCAATCTATAAAACTATGTAGACATATCTTTTGTCCTATAGCATATTATGTTTGGGAGATGGGATCTTGTTACCTTAGGCTTGTATTTATCTAAAAGTATTAAATCTATTAAACTATGTAGACATAACTTTTGTCTCATTGAATAGTATGTCTGGGAGATGTGCTCTCGTTACCTTAGGCTAGCATCTGTCTAAAAAGCTATAACTGAAACTACTAATATTTTGCATCTGCATTTTACCTTGATTAATATGTATTACTTGTTGTTCTATAATTATATGAAATTTTGTATAAATGTTACACCAAGATAACTTATAAAAGCACTTCGTTTAAATGTTATATCATGATAGAACGCTGATGAACACAATTTAGTACAACGATATTGACTTGATACAGATATTGCACAATTGCACCTATTTTTCATATATTTGTGTATTTCAAATATTCTGCTAATAAATCAAAGTTAAACAAACAATGAGGCGACTGACATTTCACATTTTCCCGTATCCATTTGGACCAATCTGTTTTAGAGACTACTGATCAAGAATTATGTGTATTGGATATTGTCCAATGAATCAGTATATTTGCATGCTGAACCCTTATACAGCCGATGCAATAACAAAACATTTTGATATTTCAACAAGGAATTAATGGTTAAGTTTCATTTTCATTGGTGAGCATCTGTTGTATTTTCTAGGAAGATTTTGACCCATACACTGACAATCTATTATCATACATTCAGTGTGCATTGTTATGATATTATATTCAATATCAATTCAGTATCATGGCTGATACATTAAATATTTAAAAGCTGTCTTTTGTATGGCATTATCCACACTTATAAACCAATAAATAAGTTTTAGATTTATTCAGTAATTTTATTCCAAGGTCATGATTACTCTCAAAATATTAAACATTCTTGGCAAATATTCCCCTAACAGGGGCGGTCGGGTAGCCTAGTGGTTAAAGCGTTCGCTCGTCACGCCGAAGACCCGGGTTCGATTCCCGACATGGGTACAACGTGTGAAGCCCATTTCTGGTGTCCCTCGCCGTGATATTGCTGGAATATTGCCAAAAGCGGCGTAAAACCATACTCACTCACTCACTATTCCCAAAACCAAGCCTGCACAAATAACTGTGCCAGTGTGAATTGGAATATTTTCAAAAGAAGTGACTAGTGTCAGTATAAAGATTCACACTGGACTTTATATGAGAGTCCCAAGATGTTCTGCAACACCATGTTGATGACAAGTAGGCCCTATTCCAGCAAGTGCCCAGTGCACATGGTGTATTCTGATGGTCAGAGGACTTAAGTATATTTACAAATGTATATACAACAAGAGTTGTTCTTTCATAGGCAATGACCACAAAATATTCAAAGAAATCTGATAATCTGATACAGTCCGCGATGCTCTCGAGGTGCACTTATGCTTGGCATCAAAGGTGAGTGAGTGAGTTTGGTTTAACGCCGCTTTTAACAGTGTTCCAGTCATATCACAGCTTAATGTGGAAGGCAGTTCAGCTGCAGTTGTCGGCCTTGGTCGGAAGTCATTCAGCCGTCTTTGAATCTCGTCCGACAGGTGCTCAATGGGATTTAAATCGGGACTGAGGGCAGGCCACTGCATGGTTCTGGTGCCATTCTGTTGGAGAAAGTCTCTTGTTCCTCTCGCAGTGTGGACAAGGGCGTTATCATGCTGAAACGCGTGGTTGCGGCGACGTGCCAAATGAGGTATGGCGTGTGGTCTCAAGACTTGATCAATGTACCGAACTGCTGTGACGCCATTGCCTCTCCGATGACCGATGTTCTGGAAGATGATCACAGGGCGTCGCTAGACTCTCTCTGCCATCTGCTGTTGAGATACAGTAATGGCTCTCGTCTGAGAAGAGGACTCTTCTCCACTGCTGGTGGCGCCAATGCTGGTGCTGTGTTGCCCACAGAAGACGGTCCCGGTGATGACGTGGTGTCAGAATGGGTCCTCGGTGTGGCCTGTGACAGTGGAGGTGTCTATTCGTCAATCGTCGACGCACGGTGTCCGCACTAATGTGTCGCTGGTGTCCCCATGGTCTGTCGAGCAGTTTCCGCAGCAGTAAGATAGCGATCTTGAAGATGCTGTCGCACAATCTGGCGATCCTGACGTCGGGTGGTGACCCTTGGTCTTCCACTACGTGGTCGGTCATCTGTAGTGTTCGTTGGTCTGGTACCGTTGCTGGAGCCTACATATCGTCCTTACGTGGACTTGAAATGCATTGGCTACTTGCCGGGCGGTTTGTCCCGCTTGCAATCGTGCAAGGGCTTGGTGTCGCTGATTTCTTGTTAATCTCGGCATGCGGTAGCAATTCAATAACGAATGAATGTTATCCGATCTGGGTGGATTTTTATGGGGCAAGACATGGGGGAACGCATGTGCATGTCAAACCATGGCCGTTTCCGTGATGCGTTTGGGCGATCGGTTTTATTGTCATCTGCTGTGTTTTTTATCATCAAATTGGATTTTTCCGGACAAGGTTATGTTAAATTTAGAAACTTTGACAAAAAGTATCCAGACATTTAAATGACAACTTTTCATATAATGTTACTTGGGGTGACGTTTCTTTTGTGGTTCAGTATATATAAGCGAAGGTAGCGGTTTCCTTTAGGAAACCCCGAAGTGGGGACCCAAATACCGCCCCTTTAATGTCTGTGACAATGTTATGTTTTTCAAAGTTACACAAACGGGCCCTGTCCGACGGAACACTGCTGTCGCCATCGTCGGGAGACGTTGTTTGTCACCGGAAGTACTAAATAACGTAATATAAGGTCTCGCGTAGTCCCGTGATCGACTTCACACTCCGGCGCAAGCTCCTTCCCAGCGCGTGACACCTTCCGTTTACACTCTCAGTAACATCGCTGCCACCAGAATCTTGAAATTTGTCCTCTAACCCCAAATGTATCCGGCTTCGGATTTAACTCCAAGCATGGTTGTGGTCACCTATCACTGTGGGGAGCTTTCACTGGTGGCAGCGATTGTTAATAAGCGAGCTTCGTGAACGGGTTATCACTGTGAGGAGCTTGACTCCGGCGCAGACGGCGCGCATCCTTCCCTGAAAATCGCTGCTATTTAGATCTACCCCTTCGGAGTCCAGTCTGTCGCGGGAACAAATGTAAGTTTTGATTCATTCATCTCTCGATATCTCAGAAATGTCGTCTTAACTGTTCGCAAGAGGAAAGATACAGGCCTGTGGACAGGCTCTCGAATTCGGAAGGTCGTACACAAAGGCGACACGCGAATTTAGCATCTGCAACTCCTGTAGCTTGCCTTGTCGAGAGCCGCAATATGGTGTCCTACAAGGGTCATGTCTTGTGTGATTGACCCCATCGCGACTCCAGGCTACCATCTGACCATGAATTGATGAAACTTGCTGATGAGGCCGAAGGCAGACTGCGTCATCTGCAAGTTCGTCATCATAGAATTTTATAGGCCCTGTGCTATAACATAGTCATGATAACAGATTACGTCGCGAATGACTTCTGGTGTTGATGATTTGATAACGTCTGGTTTTCATGGAATTGTGTCTCGAATCAATTTTAGCGCACTAACCCAATCACCAGTTTGTCTCTCATGGCTGTCGATCTGTTATCACTAGCCCATAATGTTAGGGTGCAGGATAAAATGCTCTCTTGCAAAAAAGGGGCCTAAGTGTAGTGAAAAATCTATCCAAATTGTTCACAAAATGGACCTAAATTTGGAAGCAACAAAACTAGCACAAATCCGTTGTGATTTAGTTTATTTGTTGTTTATTTATGGTTTTCAGAAGGGGTGGTCTGGATCCCCTTCTGGATCTGCCTATGACCATTTAATTCTCAAACCAAAACAATAGAACTCTGCACAGCCGGGTCTGCCTCGGGTCGTGTATTGATTAGAGACAAACTGAAGAGAAAGCTTGTGTGGTTTTTGTTATGGATTAGGTATAAAATACTAATTGCCAGCTTGATTGGACTTGATAGTGTTTATCAAAGCAATGAAAGCATTGATTACAATATAAATGCCTTGGTCGTATGAAGCCAATTACTCTCTTACCCAGAATTCCTTGAAGCCAGCAAGGTACCTCTCTCACATTACATCTTACACAGTCCTTTCAAGATACCGTATTCGACGTAATAAGCGCCCTGCTCTAATCATGCTAATAAGCGCCCACGGCGATATTTGCTAATATATTGGCTCGTGAACAATCCCAATTAGCACCCTTTCTGATTGATCAATGTACACAATACTTATTTATTCGCTTATAATACTTAAGTATGGGCAATTAACTTCTGGAAAAATATATCTCTCCTATATAAACATTTCAGGCTGTCAGCATAAACCACGACATTTATCTTTCAACTCTGTTTTTTTCCGACAAAATAATATTCTAATAAGAGCCCCCTATTTCTAATTTGGAGAGCGCCCTTGGCGCTTATTATGTCGAATACAGTATTGCATTTTTATTTCATCTGTTTCATTTTTGACAAGTCCACACATTTAGATAAATTAGGAAATAAAATGTTTAACTTTCATTGAGAGAGTGTTTATTTCAGTAATCATGGTAATGGGGCCACCAACCCATCACTGACACAAATTACATTATTCATATACAGTCAAGTCCTGTTAATCTGACATGGTTGGTTGCATATGATCATGTCTGATAAACAAAATTAAGTAAAAGTTAGTGATCGAAAATTGAACAACTACACGATAGATAACGATGTTTTTCTAATCATGCAATTTCTAAAGCTTAACACAAACTAATGTTACGGGCTGTATGACTGATTCAAAATACTTTTAAAAGCATACTCTGAAATGGAAGTAACGAGTTTTTAAAAAAGTGCTGAAACGCTCAAGAAAGCTGCTTTCTTAGTGGCTATTGTCAACTTCCTGTGAGACATTTCATTGATCAAAGTTTGCGAAAGGTCCTTCTAACATGACCTGTAATGGGATGTCCTCAGCAGTAGCGAGAACTTGTATCTGATTTTATTGAGATTGAGGTAGTCTAGGCATGTGATTAATCCCGTTTTGTTTATTGTTAAGCAAGTTTATCTAATAACTATGCAGTCGTTGTAATATGCAGCTACCAGCCGACTCGTCTCGCATCAACATCTTCATCAACCCTTACATATCCAAAGCCGTTGCTAAATAACAATGATGTAACTTTCAAAGACCATGTTTAATTCAGCTAATTGATACTGGTAACATTATGTTTGTATTAAAGAACTTGTCCATAAATTGTGTCTACTTTATTTTGCTTGTCGTAGAATATTATTTTCTTCTAGATATTATAACTGTACCTAATATCAATTATCTTGACATCCCAATTCACCCCTTGCTACTCGATTTGGTGAATTCTGACCGAGATGGAGCATTTGTTTGAAGTAATTATCATACACACGTTACATCAGGAGGTGGATGGAAACCTCACACTTCCGAAACATATGTAAACACTGGAAATATTTTAACATCACATATGTGCAATAGCAATGACAGTGGAAGCTTCATACAATTTTGCAACTGAGTACGAACAATATTCAGTACTTTATCAGCTTAATGTGATCTAGCTTTCTGTGCTACGTACCACGTTTACTTTGGGCAATAATAGTTTTGCAGTTGTAAAATGGTTTCTCTTACCTATCTGTACCATCAGCTTCCTGCCCCCTGCAGTTCTCCCACCATCGGTGTCAAGCTTGTTACTTTTAACTGATGGGCGAAGCGAAGGTCCCCTCCATCCAACTATATTGTACCAAGCATGTTGAGAATGAGTAGCCTTGATGTGGCATAAAATGAAAGTAAATTTCTATAATGAGTCTATTGTGATGTTTTAAGCCCTCATAATAATTGTTAGTCAGTCTTGTTAGTTACTGAAATATTTAGACAATTTATAAATTGCCTAAGTGAATCACAATTTACACATTGACTGCAAGATAAACATGCCTACAAACGAAAAGGCTTTAAAATGGTTACAAGATCTTGATAAAGTGATAATAAAATGTATAGCCCCTATGCTTATAAGTAAGCTTTTGCTTTCGCTTGTTTTTTTTAATGCATCTGAGATATGTGTGTCAGCTGCTAGCCCAGCTAGAGCCATCTGTTAACAATTAATCACCAGCTGTCAATCACCCACTGGGCTGTTTCAGACAGTGTAATGCCCTACTGTACCATGACCGTGGAATATATTTATTTTATGAAAATAAATAAATCTAGAAACGCATACAAAAGCAAGTCTAGCTAGCTCTATTCCACACAGCATAGGGAATATTTTTATTTTATTTTTAGAGTCAAGAAGGATATTGTGTAATATAAGATTTCAGAGACTAAATGTTAGTCTGGCCCTACTGCTGAGTTCAAAGAAAACTAGCCTGCTCACTTTTGAGCAAATTTTCTACCATGTTCCCCATTGTAAGTTCTGGTCCTTGAAAAATACTGCTAGATACTTATACAATGATACAGCAGTTTACAGTAGTTCCCCTAAAAAATAAAACGTTTCATATTTTCTAATTTTACCACCTCTTCTAAGAATAGAAAGTTTTGTGTTATCAGTGTGTTTATCATGTTTATGGTTAAACACCATTTATTACAATATAATTCTCCTTTATCATGTTTATTTGATCTTTTTAGTAAGCATGGTAAGCCAAAGACTGTTCTATCCATAATTACCATATCATATGCAAATAATAACATTAGGATATGAAGAATCCCTAATTTAATACATCTATCTCTATCTTCTCCCCAAAAGTCAATAAAGTCATTTACAAAGAGCGAAAACAGTAGTGGTGATAACTGACATCTTTTTTACATCAGCTTTACGTTAAAACAATGCAGTGTGACTTTTTAGAGACACATAGGATTTCAGTTTTGAATACATATTTAGATATGCCATGAAAGACTTAAAGAACCTTCCTTTTACATCATTCATCCCTAGTTTGACCAAGTAACTTTACAGAATCAAAAGCAGCCTTGAGGTTTACAACACAGCAATAAGTTCTCCCTTTATTTAAGAAATAAACGACGAGTGGGGATTGTTTTTTGTACAATTAAACACTGCAGGTAGAATAAGCCTTGAGGGGCATAGCGATAAACATATCCATGAGTCGTATATTTCTTATACATGTTATATAAGATATCAGCGTCTTTAAGCACGTTAAGGATGTTCATAAAACTTGCAAGCTTTAATAACAGTTACCTTCATTTTAATAATGATGACTCCCTGAATAGAATCTGACTTGGCAAAAAATAATGTTGACATATATGACATCATTGCGTTGCAGGCACATTTTCGCATCTCCAGAAATAATGTCATGATAGAACAATGTTTTATTGTGAAATATTCCATGCTTTGTTCTACATTGCTCTTTGTGATTTATCGATTTGCTATCTTATATACTGGGGTAAGTTCTTAGTGCAAGCTGTATTTTGTACAAAAATATTATCTAAAGTTTAGGGCTGTAACGAATACACTATGAGGCGAATCTGATTTGTATCATGAATATAGGGTAACGAATATGAATATTAATACAAAGTTTATGTATTATTTGTTATATTCAGTGAAACAATAACAACATAAATTATTTGACATGGTTTGTTAATTATTAATATATTATACATTTATATACTGCACTTATCCAGGTACTAGTACCTGCTCAAATGCGACAATGAGCAGTGACCACAATACTGTCAAATTAAATATTATAAGAGTGTTGTCTTTGAAGAAATAAGATGTTTTTATGGATATTTTTAGGTACAGGGTATGTAAATGCACATGATTGCATATTCATAAATATTCGATTCTAGTGGCCACGACTAACGAATTCAATTCATGAATTGATACAGTTCGATTCACCGAATATGCAAGTGAGTCGTAACGGCCCTACTGAAGTTTTAAATCTCTTCCTCAGACCAGTGGCATGATTACTCCTAAAGACCAAGGTTCCGGGTAAATACCTATTGATAAGACTTCATTAAACACGACGTGTAACATGTCAGTACATACTATAAGCACATTTTTTATAAAATTCAATTAGGATCCCACTGAATCCTGGAGCTTTGCCACTGTGCATATAACTAACTTTATTTCTTCACAAGATACGGTTAAAAACTAACCAATGATATAAATTTAAAGAATTTTGATAC